TTTGTATATACATACACTACTGTTTAAAATTTTGAAGTCTGTGTGAAGTTTTAAAATACTTTTATTCAGCAAGGATGCATTAAATTGATCAGAAGTGACAGTAGAGACATGATTACAAAAAATGTATTTCAAATAAATGCTGTTTTTACTTTCTTTTCTTCAATAAATCCAGAATAAAAATTTGTTTCCACAAAAATTATTAAGCAGCACAACTGTTTTCAACATTGACAATAATAAAGAAATGTTTCTTGAGCACCAAATTGGCATTACTATTTTTACTCTATTTTTGATCAAATAAATGCAGCCTTGGTGAGGATAAAAGATTACTTTCAAAAACATGAAAAAAAATTCCTACCAATCCCAAACGTTTGAACAGTAGCGTATTATTAATTACCATAGAAACAACAACAACAACAACATTTTAACATTTGAAAAATCTAATCTAATAATTTCAAGTTTCCCATGACTGTGTGAATCCTGTATGAAATACAATTTAATGATAGAAAATAAATGAGTGATAAATATTTATTTTTTACAATATTACTAACCAAAAGTGAAATCAGAAAATTATTTTACAATTGACAAGGCTGTCATTACATTCTGGAACTCACATTAGGGGTATAAAAACTTCTGTTAACTGAGCACAGTAATGCCAATAATCAGCCTAACTGATATCAGTCAATTGCTAGAAATAACCAATCAAACCAGGCCACACAGCACAATTCAATAATGCCAACATAAGCACATATGTTTTCAAATGGACTGCGCATTCTGTACAAATCTATGGTAATAGACATACACCAGTTCTTCAGTACGGGTAATCTTTGTGCTTTACATGTTTAACAAGGCAGAGAGAAGGAAACCAGGAGACCAGGATCAGAGTTTCCATTCGGTCCTCCAGGTCAGGCCCTCCTAATGAGAGCCCCATCAGTGGAAGTGCAACACCGCCTGAAGGAATCTATGGTATGGAATATCATATCCTCCTCCAAATATCATAGGAGTTGATATGAGCACATCTCCATGACTAAAAATATGACAGCTTAATCTAAAAACAGCCAGCAGGATGTAATGTCTGTTGTAAATAAAAAAGGGTTCTCTTTAAAACCATTGCCTGTTTGGTCAAACTCAAAAAATAAATAAAATAAATAAAAAATAAAAAACTATCCATGATGTCTGAATATTAATATACGTATACAGGTGACTACAGGGGAAGTCACACTAGATTTTGGGTTCCATTCACTTCTTAAATATATATATATTAGACACATGACAATAGAATCTTCTGAAGATTTGTATCAATACTGAAAAGGATATTCAAATGTAGAAAAATTAAAGAGAGCTAGCATTGTTTGGAATGGGAAACTGGAGTAAATGGTATATTTATCATTTTTAATTTATTACTTATAGGTATTACTATAATTTTCAAGGTTCCCAAAATTTTTGACCACTTAATTTCCAAATTTTTTTTCATGATTTTCATGTCTTTATGATTACTAGATAAAGATCCTTTTGCACTCAAATAAGAAGAAAAAGAAAAATCTGTATTATTCACTATAGAAATGTTCATGATTGTTACATTATGGATGACTATACTAAAATACTGTACAAGTACTCCGTAAATGTACATGACTATATATTCCATGATTGCTCCATGATTGCTCCATGACTAGAATTCCCATTTTGTGCCTCACAATTTCAACTACAAGACCACGGTTAAGATGAAGGGGCTGATGAGTTCTTGAATTCAGGTCTATTGCATGACAGACAGTCAAATGGACAGTATCTGAACACTCTCAGCATTCTCACCTTCAGTGTGGTCAGAGGTACCCAGTCCCATGTCCCCACTGTCCACTGTGCTGAGCCGCCAGCCAAAACGGCTCTGGAACTTCTCAGACACAGCAGGTGTCAGCCATTCCGTGTCAGAGTGCCCTACTGGAACACATAATGAACACATGATGCGACACTCTATTATGGTTATGAGGTACATAACATACGCTTATCCTGGACTGCACTGGATTTGTACCTGCGAGTTTGGGGTTCTGGTATTTCTGTGAAGTGGTCATTCCTGTAGCAGTCACCTGTGGACAGGATTCATTAAATTAATTTTAAAAAGACAACACTGTCAAAACAAAAAAAAATGTGTCTGGAAGCAAAAACATTAAGTCTAAAAACAAGTAAATCTTTTAGCTGTGCTGCAGAACTATGAACAAGAAAAAGAGCTGGCAGAACAGCTGGAAACAACATAACAGCAAATAATATAATTTACAAAATAATAATTACAAAATAGTTCATATTATTGGTATTATATAATAATATTTGATCATTTATATTGTATAATAATATAATATTAGAAAAATTACAAAATATTATTTCCACAACTGTTTATCTGAATAAAAATGTAGAAAGTATTCAAAGTCATTCACAGATTAACTATTTGAAAAAAATATCTTATTTGAAAAACCTACAGCAGAAAAGATCTCCCAAAGCTTAGAGCTGCAATAGTTAGCTAGATTTGCTTAAATTTAGGACATTTAAAGCTCGTTTCCCTAGAACAGGGCTGTCCAAACTCGGTCCTGGAGGGCCGGTGTCATGCAGAGTTTAGCTCCAACCCTAATTAAACACACCTGAACCAGCTAACGTTAATCAAACTCTTACTAGGCATAGAAACTTCCAGACAGGTGTGTTGAGGGTAAGTTGGAGCTAAACTCTGCAGGACACCGGCCCTCCCTGACCTAGAACAATGTAATCAAGTTTCTTAAAAAACAAAAGCCATTCCTATATAATTAATTTCCTATACCCTATAGTTTTCAATAGTTAAATGAACCACAACCAAAAAGAGAAACTGAGACCCAGATTAACAAGCCATTAAAGTCATTTAAATGTTCATATAATAACTTTAAATCTTCAAAATAACTTTGAAAACAAGCTCCACATATGTTGCTACTTCAAACAGATTTAACGTTAGCTCGTACAGATAGCCAAGTTAGCTAACAAAAAGAGTTTAAAAGGTCAATAAAAAAAGTAAACAACTCCACGTACCTGAACTCACGGGCTGAAAGGGTCTTTACTAAAGATAATAATGGCACGAACACAACCTACAGGGGCAACAGTGCGCTTCATTACCCGAGAGACGCTGACTGGATGCTAACGTCAATAACACGGACACAAACAATCAAACTACAAGCGGCCTGGAGCTTCAAATCCCCGCCGCAGTGCCGCTGACACTCGGGACTCTTTTTTTTAACCGTTCTTCTTCTTCTTCTTCTTTTGTGTTTAATGGCGGTTGGCAAACCAGCTTAAGGTGCATTTCCGCCACCTACTGGGATGGAGTGTGAGGCCTCGATGAACGAACATATTATATACTACTAATATAACAAAAAGAAATAAATAAAATAAAAAAAACTAAATTCTTCTAATCAAATCTGTATCTCTCAGATATGTTAGAAGAAAACCATAAACCTTAAGATGTTTCTGTGCATTCTGAAATATATTCATAACTGAAATGTCATTGATTTCCATATCTCTCCTACCATTTCCTTCAGTGACTTAGTCAATTTCAAGGGATTCAAACTACTTGCTTCTTCCGACATAAACTTCACCAATACCTTAAACTCCTCCTTTCTTGTTCTCATCTGATGACATTCTCTCTCACTTTCTGTTCCTGATGTTTGGCTCCAATCTTTCCTTCTTTTCCGCTTTTCTACTAAAGTCCACTTACTACTTTTGTTTCTTTCATTTCCCCCGCCATCTACATCCTCCAAATCCAGATCACTTCCGGACTCTACTCCACTTCCGTCCATCTTGGCCTCAGTCACAACCCAGTGTCGCCAACCGCGCCTCGTTGGGTCGTTACCCCCCAACCGTTATTCTAGTTCTTCCTCTGCGTTTTGCTCGCGTGCCAGGTTGAGACAGTAAGCGCCCCCTGCCGCTTGATTAATGAGGTGCAGGCGCAGACCCTACCTTCGTTTATATGAATTAATATTCATATTAAAATGTTATATTCCAGGCCCTATTCAAGAATCAAAATGTGCAATATATTGTGCTATAGTATTTATAGTTAGCAACTCAGCTTGAAGGAGCCCATTTACACAATGTTTATATGTTAGGGTGACCATACGTGCCATTTTCCCGTCCTGGCCAGGAT